CCTTTGCTAAACTCTTCTGCCAATCTTCTTCCTTCTCGTTCCAACCTCTCTACACATCGGCAAAGTTGCCTAGTTTCACTGTGGCTCCTCCACTGTCCATTCCGCTTTTTATTCTCTGAAGCCACTTCCGATACAGTGGTACCTCGGGTTAAGATCTTAATTTGTTCTGGAGGTCCGTTCCTAACCTGAAACTGTCCTTAACCTGAAGCACCACTTTAGCTAATGGGGCCTCCCACTGCCGCCACACCGCCGCAGCACGATTTCTGTTCTCATCCTGAAGCAAAGTTCTTAACCCGAGGTCCTATTTCTGGGTTAGCGGAGTCTGTAACCTGAAGCGTCTATAATCTGAAGCGTATGTAACCCGAGGTACCACTGTATTTCTCTTCCCCATAATGCAGACCTTCTCAGCAGGCCCTTTGCTATCTTTGGCACAGCAGACAACATGTCAGCGTTAATTTCTTAAATCTGAAATTGAAAGGGTGAATTGCAACTTCTACACAACATACTATTCATAGTTGGACTCCAGGGGTGCAGAGTAGACTTTGCAACAGTCCACCTTCCTGCATCAGATTCTACCCCTTTTACTTTTGAGTCAGCCACACCGCCACCCTTCTGCCCTCCGTGTTGTAAAGGGGACACACACACATACCCCAATCCACTTGGTTGTGCTAAGCTGCTTCATGGCAGCCAGAACGAAAGCACGGTGGCATAGCAGAGAGTGATAATTATTTGACACCATTAATCCAGTGGGTGCAAGCAATTTTGAGGATTTTCCAGCCCTCAGGAACAGCTTTCTGGAGAAGAAAAGTATGGGAACTGCCCGTGCCTCTTGCTGATTTTAGCATCTCATTCATCGTAGGGGTGATGTTTCCACAGTGTCAGAATCATGTCTCCTGGTGTAGCTTTGCATTGGTGTTTTGAAGCTAGGCCTAAGTATGCTTAACTTGAATTGGATGCACATTACCCTATTATTTGCCCTTCTTCACTTTTTTGAATGACCTCTCCAGCGTTTGAATTTTAAATTGTAAGCTCCTTGGGGCAGATACATTTTCCCCCCATTGCTCTAAATAGCATGCACCTTGATGGTACAATTTAAATAATAATTACTAGGCCTGTAACATTTATTTGATTTCTTTTAAAAAAGACGGGAATCACCCAACGGGCTCCTCGATTACTCAGGCTGCAACGTGCATGTATTTTTAATGCAAGCAGTTATTAAAAGAGTCCTGTACTCTTTTCTCACATAGAAGGAGGAAACACACCTCCTATAATGTGTCGGCTGCAACACGCACATGCATCATCCAGACGCGAAAAATAATTAGAATGATTATTTTAATCATGCAAATGTATGCAATTTGGTGACAGCCCTAATGATTGCGACCTCCTAGCGGCTCACAAATCTCAAGTTTTAAGAACCACTTTAGATGTTCATCTGCGGTTAGTGCTGAAAAGTCTTTCCTCATACGGGGGATCCATGTAACAGGGAATGTTTTAGCAGTGCAGTCTACTCAAAAGTAAGTCCCGTTGAGTTCAATGGGGCTTAGGCCCCAGGTAAACATACACAGGATTGGAGCCCTGCATCTCCTGTGTGAACCATTCTAAGGTCATAGACCAGGCAGGAGGGACCTGTGGTTCTCCAGGTCTTGTTGGGAAACCAATTTCCATCAGCCCAAACTGCATGTCCAATGATCAGAGTGTCAGGATCTCCGCTCGGCCAAGCTGATAAAGCTCATCTTCCTCCGAGCCTTCGGAATCGCCCTCCTGACGAATAATTAATGACCTGAACCTTTGATGAGGCTCAGGCACATTCCATTCAGCAGAGAATCCAGCACAGGGAAGAGACGAAAGGTTTGGGCTACATGCTGTGTTTGATTTCTTACTACGCAGACAGCTAAGAAATATACATCCTCTCTTTACGAAAGCAGAGAGCAACCGAACAAAGGAAACAGGAAACCACTAACGTCACATCCCGTCTCCCGACTTCCGTGAGACTTCCAACAGTCTGGAAGGACTCTGGAATGTAAACAGAGTCCTGTGACTCCAAGCAGCTGCACAGTGATAAGAACAGAAACTAACACAGAGGTGATGGAGGTTGGAGCCAGCAGCAACATCTGACAGGCCACCGGTTCCCTGGCCCAATCATACACCAACACCAAGAGAGCTTTAACCGACGAAGTATTTGTGGTTGACCATTCCACATGTTTAGATAACAGCTCAACCTACGTCAGTAGCTTTTAAACTATGTGGGAGGCAAAGCTTAAGGCAGCCCTAATTCTCTGAAGGAATATAAGCTGATTTGCTGCAGCACTTCAATATACGCAAAGCAGTTCCAGGCTGTACAAAATGATTGTATTTATGGCAGCCGTGCGCACGTGTGAAGTGTGAACAGACACACATCCTTAACACATCCAAATAGAAGAAGAAGAAGAGTTTGGATTTGATAACCCGCTTTATCACTACCCGAAGGAGTCTCAAAGCAGCTAACATTCTCCTTTCCCTTCCTCCCCCACAACAAACACTCTGTGAGGTGAGTGGGGCTGAGAGACTTCAAAGAAGTGTGACTAGCCCAAGGTCACCCGGCAGCTGCATGTGGAGGAGCGGAGACGCGAACCCGGTTCACCAGATTACGAGTCTATCGCTCCTAACCACTACACAGAAGGGAGCCAATAAACATGAGTGTTTACGCCTGTATGCCTTCATTTACACCAGGCATGGCCAAACTTGGCCCTCCAGATGTTTTGGGACTACAACTCCCATCATCCCTAGCTAACAGGACCAGTGGTCAGGGAGGATGGGAATTGTAGTCACAAAACATCTGGAGGGTCAAGTTTGGCCATGCCTGATTTATACTGTTTGCTGTTGGTCCCCCACAGTTTCCCAAAAGCAATCACAATTGCTGTGTGCACCTTCTTCGAATGCAACAAGCAATTAGGTGGGCAAGAATGTTAGGGATATGTTTTCTCTTGACACCCGTAAAAAATGCACATGCTCTTTTTTCATGTGTACAATGTTTGGAGAAAAGGTTACAGCAGGCCTGCAACTTATTGTCAGGCTATTAACCAAAGTAGTTAAATAAAGCCTACGTGTTCAATGACTGTGTACGGTAAAGGTAAAACTACCCCTGACCACTAGGTCCAGTCATGGACGACTCTGGGGTTGCAGCTCTCATCTCGCTCTATAGGCCAAGGGAGCCGGCGTTTGCCCACAGACAGCTTCTGGGTCATGTGGCCAGCATGGCAAACCAGAACAGCACACGGAAACGCTGTTTACCTTCCCGCCGGAGCAGTACCTATTTATCTACTTGCACCTGACATGCTTTCGAACTGCTAGGTGGGCAGGAGCAGGGACCGAGCAACGGGAGCTCACCCCGTCCGGGGATTCAAACTGCTGACCTTCTGATCGGCAAGCCCTAGGCTCTGTGCTTTAACCCACAGCACCACCCGCGTCCCTGTGAGTGACTGTGTACCGGACCACAAAATATGTACACCTTTGGTTTTTCTAGAATGGCAATCGGGAGAAGGCAAGGCTCAGGAGTAAACTCTACACAAATCCAGAGCGGAGTCCCTAAGACAGTTGGATGGCACCTTGTACATTTTCTTCCAGCAACTTTTGCAGCCAAGCTGGTGCAAAATGTATTGCTCTGCTTTCCTTTGGACCACATCAGCAAGGCAAAGAGGAGGGTCTTGTCATCTGGGCAGCCCAGGACCTCCAGACACATTGCCCTGGCTTGCGCCCCTGAGAAGGTCTCTTCGGTGCTTCAAATGCAGCCTTTTATATTTTTATTGGTGGGCAAGCTGGAAAGATTTGTGCTGCCCCTTCTCCACCGTTCAGCAAGGCATGCCTAGCAGTTTGTTCTCTGCTATCCACCCCAAAGTAGAAAATGCAAAGTGAGAAAAGGACCCTGGGGAGAACAGATCGGAAATAGTTTTTTCCTTTAAAGCACTGTTAAGGAATTTGTTAAGCTGAAATAACTTGTGTCTGCAAGCACGGCCCTATAGAGATCTATGGAGGCACTGTGTTCAGAAGTAAGTCTGGCTGTCTCTTATTATCACCACTGGATTCGTGATACTCTGGAATAAAGAAGTTCTTAAAAGGCAGCTTGTCAGGCCTGAGGATCTTGTCCTCAGCTGGGCCTCCCAAGTGCCTGCAGTAAGGCTAGTTAAGGAACTCAAGCCATTTTTCCTTCAGGCAAATGCTTCTAATCTGGCTCAGAGAGGATTATAGAACCCTTGCCTCCTAAAGCTATTAGTCCCTGATGGTGCAGTCTGATGTCAAAAAAGACCAGGAGTTTTCTTTGGGTCCAGTGTAAGTTGGCCTGAAAAAGTACATAGGCTTGCTCTGGTTGTGACTAGAGATGGATGGATCTTTCTATTTCAGTTTCTCACGGTTCCTTATTTTTCAAGTCATAGTAGAGTTGGTTTGTCACACTTCAGCATCAATTTGCAATTTATATTTTTTAAAGAAAGTCGTCATGAAAACCCACCAGCACTTTAGTGCATGTTTCTCTTAATAGACTCGTTTTTAATGCAGTTTTGCCTATTATATACGTATTTTTGTAAGCCATTTCCCCTAATATAATGCATGTTTACTGTTGTTTTCACTAGTACATACATTTTAATGCTCTTTTTATTTTTAATGCACTTTTATTTTTTTAAAAAAATTACATTGAAAAACTGAGAAAAGTGTGACTTTTGAAGGATCACTATTTGCATATATTTTCAGAAAGAATGAATTAGGCAGGATCGCATTAAAATGCACACTGAACCAAATTTCTAATCCATCCCATAGTAACTGCACTCGGGCAAAAATTTTCTCAATGTATCTATACAAATGAAGCCAAGTTTCAGCAATCTGCCCAAATCTGTAGGAGCGCCCATCCTATGGAATTTGAATGTGAGGCTTTGCATAAATTTGACACATGGTTAATGTCTGGTAAGAAGCATACAATGAGTTGATAGGAAGAGTGCTTGGAAAAGCATAGTATAGGGACATGACACTGGGACAGCTCAGTTGGTAGAGCATCAGACTCTGAATCTCTGGGCTGTGGGTTTGAGTCCCATGTTGCGCAAAAGCTTCCGTCATTTCAGGGGGTTGAACTAGAGGTAAAAGTAAAGGACCCCTGGACGGCTAAATCCAGTCAAAGGTGACTATGCGGTTGCGGCGCTCATCTCGCTTTCAGGCCAAGGGAGTCGGCGTTTGTCCACAGCTAGCTTTCTGGGTCATGTGGCCAGCATGACTAAACTTATTCTGGTGCATCAGAACACTGTGATGGAAACCAGAGCACACGGAACTGATGTTTACCTTCCCACCGCAGTGGTACCTACTTGCACTGGTGTGCTTTCGAACTGTTGGGTTGGCAGGAGCTGGGACAGAGCAACGGGAGCTCACCCCATTGAGTGGATTCGAACTGCCGACCTTCTGATCGGCAAGCCCAAGAGGCTCAGTGGTTTAGACCACAGCCCCACCCGCGTCCTTAAAACTAGATGATCCTCATGGTCGCTTCCATGTTGCGTTCGCAAAGTAAAGGAAGGATTGAACTCTGATTAATAAGACTCTGAACCAGCAAGACTCTGGGAAGGGTGCATATAATCGTGTCTCTCTGTGCTTGTCCGTGTCTGCAGCCCCCTGGCCCAGGCCGTTTTTTATTCACAAAAGAACTTTTTACAGAGTGTTCGTAAGAACCAATCAGATTTCTTCTGAGCATTTCCACAAACCTGTGAGGAGAACCTGAGCTTACAGGGTTAAACAGCTCAGAATGTATGCCCTGCCTACAGTTGGGAGGGGGGAGGTACGTCAGTTCTGAGAGACTAAAGTCTTTGTTCTGTCTCTCTACTTTCGCTTTTGAGGAGAGAGGACGTGTTTTCGCGATGCTGTTCGCTGTGATAGATAATGGATAGCCTGCTGTAAATAAAGCTGCTTTTAGCTGCTAAGATCCTGTGTGGACTTTATTTAAGCACGCTGAAGAATGCACTGGAGTGTTTTGGTTTCCTCTTACCGCTGACGAACTCTGCTATGCTCAGATGAGTCGGACTCTTGGAATGCAGAGGCCTGTGATGGGGGAAGCGTGCCGGACGCTTATCTGAGCAATAAATCAATTATCCCAGAAAACCCATGTGGGGAGAAAGTTAAACCACTAAAACTAATTAAGCACAAATATTTCTGGGGTAAATAAGTTGAGAACTACAAAGAAGAGTATCTGGCAACCCAGGAGGTAATAAACAAGCAATACACATATGATAAGGAGGATGGCCAGAAGGACAGCGACCGTTATCACCTTAATGTGAGATCTGCTTCCTGGCCCTAAGATTAAGATCCTACATCAAATAAACTTGCCCACTGTCTTTGATGACCCAGGACGCCTGCCTGTCTAAGTGTGTATGTGATTCGTGAAGAGCAGGGAGAAATGGGCAGCAGAGGCAAAGGGCATCAAAAGGGCATGTAGAATCTTATGGGATTTAATCAGAAATTATCGTCAATATATCAAACCCAGTCAACACAATGTCTTCATCGTGGACATGATGGCTTGATGTATATTCTATAATTCCTCATGGTAATCCCATCTGACCCCTACATCTCACCCTTTTTTATTTATTTATTATTTGTGTACAGGAAGGCTTAAGAGAGGAGAGGCATTGCATCCTCATCATCTGCCTGCATATGTTTCTGTATCACATAAAGATCTCTAGCAGACATTCCTGAAGGAGGGCGTGGAAAAAATGTAGTGCAGAGAGAGAACAAGGAAGGGATACCTTGTAAAAAACAACAAGTTCCAATTAAAGCAACAATGACTAGCAAACCATACATGAGCAAGGTTCGAAACCACCCAATCTGTGGTAACCAAGACCACAGAGCGTCCCGCCAGGAGGGAAGAACATCCTGTGTGATGTTGTGTGCTAGTGCTTGCAATTGATCAATTTGAGTTTGCACATGATAACTATTATCAGTCAGATTAAAACAGCAAAGATGAGACACAACTTGACATCCTAGATGCTGGCGTAGAAGCTTTCAGTGTAATAACAGCTTCTCTTAAAATCTTCTGTTCTTGATTTAAAAGAGCTAAAGCACGTGAGGTATGATTTATAGATTTCGTCAAAGAACAGGCCAGGTGAGCACCCATGTGAGCATTGTATATGGCCAAAGCAGGAACTCCCACTAAGGAAGCTGCCAAAGAAGTATACTCTGCTTTGGAAAAAAGCTGTAGATTGGAGTCACACATGTCTGTTAAACTTTCAGCATGACGTTGAGAGCGCATTGAATGCTGCTGCCTGTTTAGTTCTAAAAGTGAGCGACTAGGCATAACTAGGCTTTGTCAATTGGCTAAGGCAGCATTGAGCATCAGATAAATTGGCAGAAATGTAGTTATAACTTCTTTGATTACACGTGAAAAACCAGCTATGTGGTAAGCGCACATGAGCATAATTAAAAGCAATCTGCTGAACACGCGAACAATTCCAAGTTGGCCTTCCTGTGTCCAGACAGCGAGTTGCTTTCTTACTGCAATTCACAATCTGAGCACAAGAGGTGTCTGGCGGTGCTGCAACTTTAGGTGCGTATAATGATATTGCATCCAGAGGTAACTTTTGTGTCACCTGTCCCCAATCATGGAGATTGGTATAACCAATGATACCTTCAGGAATCCATTTAGAAAACCACTATCCCATGTGTGTGGCCATGTGAAAAGCTGCTTACAAACTGGAATCATACAATTTCCCAAGGTAGTGTGCATATCATATGTTTCACGCAAACAAAAAATTGAGAGACAGTAATTTCAGCTAAACGCATCCACATATTATAGCTATGACTGGAAGAAGTGTCAGGAGAAAGAGATGTACATTGAGTACTAGGTATCAAGAAAACAAATAATATACATATTAAAATCAGCATAGAGTTCATGTGTAGCTGAGCAATTAAAGCTACTAAAAAGTCTCTGGTGCTTCTGGAACATCATGTTGCTAAAATTGTGTCCTGGCATCAGAGTCCAAGGTCTTCAGCATTCCCCATGTCGCCTTCGGGCATCCCTCAGCCTTTCAAGGATGAGGATGGACACAATGGACTTTCGCATGGGGCTGCTGAGCCTTTAGATGCGGAGTCAGGGTCATGGTCCTTGCAAAGTCCGGAAGGGATTCTGCAGGCCTTGGTGTCAGCGCATGTCTTGGCCCATAGGGATGGATACAGCGACCTGGAATCCACACAGGACCTGAGGAAGTAAGAACAGTAGGGCATCCTGCCCCTAGGTAATTAAAGGAACAGATAATCAAAGGAACAGGTCTCTCTCACTGCGGGTTGGGGAGCTGCTGGTGCGTCACTAGAGGGCGTTCCAGAGATACCTCTTCCCTACAATGGCATTTATAGGAGAAAATTTATTAGGAAAGGAAACAGTTAATTGATTTAAGGTAAAGAGAACAATTGACATAACATTAAATAAATCTTGTGGTTGAACACCATTATCTCCAAGATGATTCCCCAACAGTTGTGTGAAGGTTCTGTGGGCACATTACTTGACTTGTGGAATTGTAAGGAATGCCATGTTATGTGAAAGTAGAATAAGTGTCAATACTAACATGTAGGTAACAATGGGGTGCAAAGGCTGAAACTTTAGTGACATCTGTCTGCCATAAAGCATTTGCATTAGATCCTCTAGCCTGCACATCCATCAACAATATCCTTAGCTTGTGTCAGAGGAATGAAAAAATTATTATTTTATCAGCTGCATAGCTCCCTGGTGAAAAAAATGCATGGGTATCAATTGCATTAGAAAATAATGGACAGAAAGATTTCAGAGCAGAATCAGCATGTTGATTTCCTTCTGAAATTATATCTTTGAATCCTGTATGGGAGCAAAATGTGAGCAAACATGAGCTGCATAGAAAGGCAAAGTTCTAGGCGTTAAGAGATATTTCAGTGTCAAGAACGAAGAGAGTAGATTAAAATCCAGCATAGGAGAAAGATAAAAATTAGTCAAATGTGATAAAAAGATATCCCACTTCACACAAAAATCACAAAATGCAGTGGAAGTGTAGGCTGGTCTCTTGTCAGTTTCCTGATTAGCTGCAAAGAAATATGCCAGTTATTTTCAGAATCCTTATACGTTAAAATACTCTAGAGTGTTGAATAGGAACCTGTTTTTGGACAGAAACCAATTTTCAGGGTACCTGTTGAATTAAAACTAGGCATGAATCTTTAGAAAGGTTAAAATAAACTATCCCAAGTTAGTCAGTAAATGCAAACAGATAGGAAAGAAAAGAACTCATTAAGGACTCATGCTCCTGTTTTAGAAAAAAGCAAATAACAAACAGCAATATCAAATCCAGTGTTAGGCAAATGTAGCCACTTTAAAATCACTATTTTGTCAGCAGCGTCTGGAGAAAAAAAGTAGTCCTGTAGGTGAAAACATTGTATTAAGGAAAATAGGTGAAAACATTGTATTAAGAAGAATCACGCGTATGAAGTGACTCCAAAACTCTGCAACTGCTGTAAAGTAAATTCATTAGGAATTGTAAGTTTAGGGAGGAAAGGAGAAAAAACAGTCTGCAACAGGTGATGAAGAATGAGTCTCACTGTCTGAGGTAGAATCAGACCTGTATGCTATGTCTTAATTTTATAAACCACCATAGGGCACTGGAACTGAAAAGCAGCAACTTCTGCTGTCAGTAGATTCAAACCAGCACTGCCCTTAGCGGCATGGCGCAGATTTGTCACAGGAGACTGTGTGTTAAAAGCAGCTGTGTTAGAAGAGATAGCTGGCTCTGCTAATTTAGCTTCAGTAAAATCCTGACAATCAGCTGGCACAACAGTCTTTGTTCTCCCATTTAAACTCAGGCTGGAAGGCCACCTGTCCTGGCATTGCCTGTCTTTAGCAGGATGCACTGAAGGAGACAAAACTGCTGCTAGGAGGGCAGATTTGTGAGTCTCGGTGTCAATATTCTGGCAAGGCTTACTCATTTGAGCAATCTCTGTTTCTGGCTTCTGGTAACTTGCTTTAAGAACAGTCTTGCAATCAGCATTTTCATTTTCATAAGCCAATTGTTTCATTGAAACTTCAGAGGCTTCAAGGTTTGGAATTAAAGTACTGGCTGCTCTTAGCCCATCAAGAATGCCATGCAAGCCATTTTCTGTCACACTTCACTTCAATTTGTTAAAAACTGCGAAGGGCAATGATTCATGGGCTCTCTGTTCCTGTGCATTCTGAACAACAGGACAGAGTGCTAATAATGGTAAGGTGTCAGCTGTTTTTTCTTCACTGCTTCCTTCTGCCATATTTGGAATAGCCAATTTTTGCACTGTGGTCTGAGCCCCTTGTGGGCACTGGTCCACCGAAGGTGGCATGGAATTTACATTTGACCCAGGCAAATCTTTGGCAAAGGAAGGTGCCAATGGAATTACTTTTGGCATTACCTCAGAGTCCTCAGAGAGAGGCTGGAAATCTAGAGGCTGAGATAGAGGAAACAATATTATGGTATTTTTAAAATCAGCTAGGGGTTGCAACAATATGGGAACATTCATAGAGATAGCTGGTGGTTGGAGCAAAGGGTTAGAGAACTTTTCAACTGCGTCTCTACACAAACGCCAGGTGTGCAAGACTTGTAGAGATGCCTCAGGATGTCTATGGAGTGCATCTCCCAGCTCATTCCATTTCTCAGTGTCATAAGTACCCCTCTCTGGAAACCAGAGGCACAGTCTAGCAGTCTCTAACAACAATTTTTCTACTAAGGGTGCTAAATGCTTATCATGCCCTGCCTGAGCTAGCAAAAATAACAAATTATTCCTATGCTTTTCCTGCACTTGTGAAAGCTTGCTTCCCATGATCTCACCTGAAGGGTAATAGACGCGCGTCTTTGGGGCTCGTTCCGAGCGAATGAGATCCTAAGTCCGGGAATCGTTTTGCAGGAGATGATCCACCGCGACCGAGGGATAGCAGGTTGCTAGCTCCGAGGGGAGTCCAATCCTGGGGGTTTCCTTTTGCTGAGGTTTCCTTTTGCTTTGCCTCAAACGCTGAGGTTTTCTCACAAGCCTCACACATTTCCTTTTAGCTTTGCCTCACACGGTTCCTTTAGGTGGCCTCATACAGGGCACCACTATGTTGCGTTCGCAAAGTAAAGGAAGGATTGAACTCTGATTAATAAGAACACACACAGAGGCTTGAACCAGCAAGACTCTGGGAAGGGTGCATATAATCGTGTCTCTCTGTGCTTGTTCGTGTCTGCAGCCCCCTGGCCCAGGCCGTTTTTTATTCACAAAAGAACTTTTTACAGAGTGTTCGTAAGAACCAATCAGATTTCTTCTGAGCATTTCCACAAACCCACGTGGGGAGAAAGTTAAACCACTAAAACTAATTAAGCACAAATATTTCTGGGGTAAATAAGTTGAGAACTACAAAGAAGAGTATCTGGCAACCCAGGAGGTAATAAACAAGCAATACACATATGATAAGGAGGATGGCCAGGAGGACAGCAACCATTATCACCTTAATGTGAGATCTGCTTCCTGGCCCTAAGATTAAGATCCTACATCAAATAAACTTGCCCACTGTCTTTGATGACCCAGGATGCCTGCCTGTCTAAGTGTGTACTTGATTCGTGAAGAGCAGGGAGAAACGGGCAGCAGAGGCAAAGGGCATCAAAAGGGCATGAATGTAGAATCTTACGGGATTTAATCAGAAATTATCGTTAATATATCAAACCCAGTCAACACAATGTCTTCATCGTGGACACGATGGCTTGATGTATATTCTATAATTCCTCATGGTAATCCCATCTGACCCCTACACTTCCAACTCTACAATTCGATAACTCTGTGACTGATAGACAAGAAGGAGGGAAGATGCTACAGGGCAGGTTACAAAGCAACCTCCATTCTTATCCCTCCCCTACTTTAGCCTTGGAGCCATTTGCAGACTGCCCAGATGCGTTTCTACTACCTTAAGGGATAGACTCCCTTGGGGAAGGGCTGTAGCTCAGTCTTATACTTGCATGCAGATGGTCTCGGGTTCAATTCCTAGTGTCTCCAATTAATAGTAGTAGTAGTAGTAGTAGTAGTAATAATAATAATAATAATAATAATAATAATTTATTATTTGTACCCTGCCCATCTGGGCTGCCCCAGCCACTCTTGGCGGCTTCCAATAAAGATTAAAAATACATTAAAATGTCACACATTAAAAACTTCCCTGAACAGATGTCTTCTAAATGTCAGGTAGTTGTTTATCTCTTTGACATCTGATGGGAGGGCATTCCACAGAGTGGGTGCCACTACCAAAAAGGCCCTCTGCCTGGTTCCCTGTAGCTTTGCTTCTCACAGTGAGGGAACCGCCAGAAGGCCCTCGGAGCTGGACCTCAGGACTGGGAAAGACTTCTGGTCTTAGATCCTGGAGTGCCACTGTCAATCAGTGTAGACAATGCTGAGCTAGATGGACCAATGGCCTGACCTAGTATAAGGCAACTTCTTACGGACTTCCCTAGGTTTCTTCTATCTCTCCTTCAACATGGATTGTTCTGCCTAGCCTGGCCTCTCCCACTGCCTAGAATCCCAGTCATGGCTACTCAGAAGAGCCATAGCTCAGTGGCAGACCATCTGCTCTGCATGCCAAAGTTCCCCGGTTCAAGCCCTGCCATCTCCCAAGGATTGCTGGGAATGTCCCCTTTCTGAAACCCTGGAAAGCTCCTTCTGATCAGTGTGGACAATCCTGAACTTAGAACCTCCAACAGTCTGACAGTATAAGTCTGCTTTCTATGCACCACCCTTGTTTGTTTAAAAGAGGAGGCCACCACCGAAAACTGCAGGATGAATTTCACGGTTTTGTACCAGGCTCTGTGTGCAATTCCATAAAGCATTTCCCATACTGAACAACTAGGTCTTAAGTACAGAATGAATGAATAAGCCTTTGAATTAAATTAAAACTTAACCAAAAAAATAAAAACCACTTAATCTTCCAAGTGTTTTAATGATGAGGCATTCTGGGTTCTGGCTTGTTTTGAGGCAGATTTATCAAAGCCAATTATAGTTCTTTTTAGAACTTACAAAGGAACACGGGAGATCAGGCTCAAATTAAAAAGAAGTGTATCTTTGTTGTTTTCCCCCGAAATCCCTTTCAAAACTGTTCTTTGCTTTCATGTTTTCAAAGGTTGCCATTCACTCATGCCCACGATCTCAAAGTCTTTAACCAACGGAGGGGAAGGCGTTTGCAAAAATCACAGGTTAGTTGCTCCCTTC